AAAAAGTGACAGATCTGTTTGAAGTGGGCACTAACTGCCTTCTCCACAGCTGGACATTTAAACTGTACTTAATGTTTAAGGCTGCAGCTTGAGCTGTAGAAGTGAATTGTTTGAGTCACTTTAACTCACTAGCGGCAGTAGCTACATACCTATGGCTAATTTGTCTGTTGTATTTTTCTACTTATTTCTCTTTAGGGTGGTGGGAGGCTGGAGCCAATTACAATGATCATGGGGTGAAAGCTCACGACAACATAGACAGTACTCCAGTCTGTCACAAAGCCACACAGAGAGACAACAACCATTCACACTCTAAAGTGTGGACAGTAAACCCTCATGTTTTTGAAAAGTACAAAAAAAATTCACATAGACAGCTTTCCTCTGGATCTATATTCCACAAGGACACCTAATGATATGAAAAACTAGAAATATTTTTTTCTGTCTGGTTGACAACATGCAAACTCACACATACAAATTGGAGATTTAACTTAAAGCAGTGCTTTTCAACCATGGGGTTGCGACCCCCCACGGGGTCGCCTGGAATGTCTTGTAATTGCTAAAACAAAAAAGACAGATACAAGTGTTTTTTTAACTGATTATTTTAAAATTAGGATTAAAAACACCACATAAGTAAGTAAGTGCTCACTACTTCCACCCTGTGGCCCTCAGCCATATTTATTCATATTATTTAATAATAGACCCTATGACAAAAACAAATTAAGCCATTATTGAAGCATCAAAAAGACAGGAAGTGCTCCACATGTTCTTAAGTCTTTTTTTCTGTACTTTTATCATTTCCATCAGAGGAATTTCCCTGGATTGAACCCATCCATGAAGTGATTAACCCTTGCCACACAAAAGCATTGGGATGCACCTTTTTTGTTAATGCACCTGTGAGTGTGGGTAATTTATGGGGGTTGTGGCAACCCACCCAGCTCCAGAGGCCAGGACTGAACCTCTATTTTAAGTCCGGTTCAATTTTGTTTCAATACAACTTACCATACATTTCCGGAACTAGCCTGCATCCCTCAACACTTTCTCCACAGCTCTCCTCTGGAACTATATCCCACAAGGACTTGGAATGAGTAGACACCTAATTTTGTGAAAAACTAGAAATATTTTTTTCTGTCTGGTTGACAGCTGTCAGGGAGCAGGAGTTGGTGTCGGCTCCCCCTGTAGACTGAACAACAAACAACACCAGACGCAGGAGAAAGTCGCCCCGACTTAAATTAGTCGGGCCAGAACAGATTACTGTGGGAGGAGAGAGTCTGCCCCGAGAGACCGGTGCCCTGCAAGACTTAGGGAAGAGGAGGATGTAAGCCGGAGAGGAGGAATAGAGGGAATAGAATGGAGAAGGTGAGGAGGGAGGTGGCAGGAAAGAGGGGAGGAGAAGGGGGATAAGCTGCTTGGAGAGTTGAGCCGGGCTCCAAAACGGTGTGTGGGGGCAAAGGATTAGGCAGGCTCTGAGGAAGACATCTGCTTCTGAGCCCAGCTCACCAGTATCAAAGACACCAGCGTTTCCCACATCATCAACTTTTCATGAGCGCGCTCACTGGTAAATATCAGTGGCAGCGGCCGGGGTCTCAGGAGAGGGAAGAAGGGCCAGGAAGTTTGAACTTGTTTCCAAACACAAACCGAATGGATTCTGTGGCAGGACTTAAGTACTTGATAAAAACCCCACTTCCAGAAGATGTCATCTCTTCTCCTCACAGCTTTAAGTGTGTACTTGATTGACTGACCTGATCTTCATCTTTACTCCTCATCATGCTCTGCCAGACAGCTCTGATGATGGGAATGTCCTGGCGCTTGGTGGCGTAGCACTGAGCCTGAATAACGTGACCCAGAGTCAATCCACTGACTGCAGCCTCCAGGACTTTCTTCACATGGTTGAAGGAGAGCAGGGCCTGCACCCTGGTACTGGACTGGATCAGCTGCATGGTACATGGGACCAAAGCAATTTGGCCAGCACAGAAAACTGAGTCATCCACCTGGAAAAGACACCAGAGAGATTAAAAAAAGTGCTTGAATGATCATTTTGAATGGAAATATATTAGTCTACAACTGTTTCTTCCCAGTTAAACCCAGTTCATGACAATAAAGCTGACAGCTAGCCATGTTAGCTGGAGCATCGGTAGTATCAACTAAAGCAGTGGTTCTCAAAGCTGGAGCATCGATAGTATCAACTAAAGCAGTGGTTCTCAAACTGTGGTACGTGTACCACCGGTGATACGCGGGGATAATTTATATTTTCACATATACATTATCAATTGAATACATCTGAAACATACCATGCACAATTAATACAACATTTAAACATAAACATCTTCATAAACATTTATAAACATCTCTCCTGTGTGGTGGAAGCTAACAGTGAAGGCCTATGCTGCTGTATTCTAATGTTGGTCATCATGGTGGTACTCAGAGAGATCAATGTTTTCACAGGTGGTACAGAGTATAAAAAGTTGGAGAACCACTGGAATAAAGAATCGCTTAGTTACTGAATTAGGATAAAAGTAAAACAAGCCAAAGGTTAGCTGAAATAAATAGTGAAGTTTATAAGAACATTACCAAGTCACTGTAGAAAAATACAGAAATATTCTGAGGTAAATTCTCTTTTTCATGATTGCTATAATTACCTTCGTAAATTGGAGATGTGGATTTGATGTGCTTTGACTAAACTGTTAGATCTGACCTCACTACTCTAAGAAAAATAATCTTAGAAGTTGTGAAGAACTTCGTTTCTTTAAAAACATCAAACTGGATGTAAGATGTCATCGACTCTAAAGGAAGTTCCATTATAATAAAAAAAAAAGTACAACAATCACCGGTGAGGTGGTAAAATCAAATTAACATTAATTATAAGCACATGTTTGAGTAGCAGTGCATTAATTATCATCTTATCAACCTTCCATTTTACTAATGCATCTTATCGCCGACAATTTTCATTTCACAGTTATAAAACGAGCAGGTACTCTGTGAAAAACAACGCTTATCCACGGCTGTGGCACCGACGTTATTTATGAGCACAATTAACCATGTGATAATAAGCTCAATTCACTGTTAAATACCTCAGGCTTTTTTGAATAATGAAACTTGGGGGGGATAAAAAAAATCCATCCGTTTAATGCTGAGAGGCGAGTTAGGATGAGCGGTGACATTCAGGAGGTCAGGTCTTTGGGGAGTGCGTGCCTTAGCCATGTTTGATGATGAATAGCATTAGCGCTGGACACTAGCTGCTGCTGGTCAATGCAAATAGATGCGGGTGACATGGTGATAATTGCTGGCCTACGCAGGGACCTGGGAGCACATGCAGATGTCCATGAAGGATCAGAGGGGTCTGAATCAATTGATACATCACTCCAGACGTGATAATTTGCTAATTAGCAGAGGCACAACCTGTGGTATTAGGTTTCGCAATGAGATTAGCAAGGATTAAGGGGGAGTTAAGATCTTGGTTGGGATTCAGCTTCTGTGGCCAGAAGTTTTCTCTTTAAGGTATTTAACTAGCAACATTTAGGCACCCCTGTTTGTTACCAACCCTCCTTCATTTCCTTGTACGTACACCACAAAAGGTCAAAGCAAAACTACCAGAGAAATGCATATGATATGCCACTGATTGCCTAACTCAAGTTAACTAAACATGACACCCAGAAGGTAGTCTTGAGACCTTTGCCATTACGTTTATTAACTCTTTTTCAAGTAGTTTTCATCTCCTGATGTTGACAGGATTTATCCAAATTCTTCATCTCAAATTCACAGTTCCAGGGCCGTAGGAAGAAGCAGCACCACATATCTTAAACCCTTAAACAATTTCCTGATCTGCGTTTTAGCCTAGTTGATGCTAGTTCTAGGCAGGACCAGTCATTTCTTTAGGAGTCCTGACAACCTTTTCAGTGTCACTCGCAGGTCTAGAGTTTGAGACCCCTAATAAGAACCTTCACAGATGCTGACAGTCCAATCAGCAGCGTGTTGAATCAGTCCCTGATTGGACAGAAGTCAGTCTTGCGTTCCGCTAGAATTTGCAATAATGATTAAAGGTTCAGAGTCAGTTTTTTATTTAATCTGAGTTTTTTTCATTTTCTGTCTTTTTTGCTCAAAATCACTGGAATGAAGCAGAAGACAAGACTCCAAAAAAAAAGAGAAAAATAAAAGTTAGCAGAAAGCAGAAAGGTTTAGGCTCCTCTGAATCCCAACCACTTGGATCAAACTCATCTCAGATCATTTACCTGAAACCAACCTGGGAGTTTGTATTAGAAAGTCTCAGGGAAGAGCCAGATTCCTGAACATCAACAGCAAATTGTCATTGGCATTCCATTTACGAAACCATCAAATGGCATCTAACCAGTCTGACGGAGACGAGCTTTATCAGGTTGGAAGGATGGCTATAATCTTTTAACAAGCTCGTTCCGATGAAAAGCCCTAGCTCCAAGTTGAATTCATAAAGGTCGGCTACCATTTGTCAATTTGAATATCAAAAGGGGGCTCGCGTGGGGCCCCGGCACTGTTAAAAGCAGACTCCCATGGCTTCCACCAAGCAGGTGTGTGATGATCAATTATTAAGCATCCCGCTCTGGTTACTCTTGGTGGGAGGTGGAATTGGGGATTTGCGGTGTGGGGGCACATGTGAACCTGCGTATGAGGGGAAGCGACAGCAAGGAAGAGGAGAGCGAATACTATTTACATAAAATTAACAGTTCAAAAGAATGAGTTCACACACCAATCAAACTTGTTAATTGACTGTCAATGGAGTGTCCCTGAATATACAACACAACTACATTATTCATCTTAGGCCTTGACAGGAACGACAGTCCAATTTGCATGGGCGTTCTAAACGTGATCAACAACCACAATGCCGCATGCATTTTTAATGAACGGGAGATGGAATCCTTTAATATTCATAAGGGTCAAACAACTGCATGTGACATTAAACTTTCTATAACAAGGTAAGTATTTTTCAAATGCTAACCATATCAGTTTAAATGGCCCACGGAGAAATGGAAAGAAGTGCTGTCTCTGCTAAAGTTGGTGCATTTTGGGTTTTCTGTGACATTAAAATTGTTCATACTACAACCGGAGGATCGATGATATATTTTAGAAGCTGACGGAAGCTGGTAATTGGATTTTCAAAGTATATATATTAATATCTTGGACTGCAGCAATAAGAACAACTGTCAATGGGAAATGAAGAGCTTTGTACAACAAAGGTACAATAAGGTTGGGGGCCTGAAGATGCAGGAACCATCATGAAACAAATATAATTTTAGGTTATGGAAAATGTGGAAAAAATCTCAAGCAAATCCATTAACATCAGCGCTGCAGTCCCATCATAGATGCACTATATTTGAAAGGCATGTATAACCTGACAGGAAGTGGGTGATTTACCTATATGTGATTAATACTAGCAACTTTTTGTGTTAAATTTTCAACGTGTAACCTTTGAGATCAAACGTGTCGATAGGCTTTTCTTGGCTTTGCCGTAAGTTTTGTTAAAAAAGGTATAACCTGACAGGAAGTGGGTGAATTATCTATATGTGATTAATACCAGCAACTTTTTGTGTTAAATTTTCAACGTGTAACCTTTGAGATCAAACGTGTCGATAGGCTTTTCTTGGCTTTGCCGTAAGTTTTGTTAAAGAGACTCCTTAAGTTGACATATTTTCCAAAATGTTTTATCACATCAACACGTGACAAACCAGTTACTATGGATTCACAGTAATAGGACCACATCACTCACCAACGATAAAGTGTCTTATGTTTAAGAATGTATTGACGTCATACTTAACTCTACAATGTTCAGAGCCACAAAGAAGTGTGTTTTGCTACAAGGACTTAGCTCTAGGTCTGTTAAGTTTCTTAAGCTTCTGAAGGGCTGACTTTGCTAAATAACCACAAGCAGAAAAAAGCCAATGGTATCTTCGCTGTCCTACGCAGGGAAAAGCAAGACACAAGCCTGTCCTACGCAGGGAAAAGCAAGACACAAGCAGTTGAGGCAGTTACTGTTTACTCTGGTACCAACAAGTTACACCTTTTACCTCAAGGCTCCAGTAGCTAAGGGTTGGTGGGTGCCTGTGTTACCATGGAGATGTAGGGATTTCCCAAAAACATTTCTTTTATTTTCATTTTAAAAAGCTACTTTAACAGTATCGTTTACAATATTACAATAACTCCAGATGAACTGCTGCTCAGTTCAATCAATGAGAAGATAACAACACATGCTTTCTACTTCTGATCTCCACCAACCTCCACCTTTCTGCCTTATCGACCTTTATCTCGCAGCAATGGCACCATCAGTTTTCTAATAAACCCAATGACTCAACAAAAGGTCACCAACCTCAAAGACGTTCTCTGTCCATCTGCGTGAAGTGCAGACAGTAACATATATGTAAATGTAACCAGGAAGCGTCTGTCTGTGTCCGCTCCAGCCCCTAACGGTGTCTCATTTCAGGCTACTGTGTCTGAGGTGCTTCTAATTGTGTGTTTTTTTTAAAGCTCTCCCACAGATGACCAGACAGTGCCAGACTGTATTCACATCGGTGTAGGAGCCCTCTGGGCCCCCAGTCGCGCCGAGGACGCCTCCAAGTGTCATTAGCGAAGCTTCAGATTGGTACAAATGAACGAGGCTGCGCCTGGATAAGATGACCTGGTATTGACGAACAGTCAGGTTTTGCAGCGCGGTCCCAAGGACGGAGCGAGAGGGAGAGGTGGGATGCTGCTCCACCGGTCCTATCAGATATGCTAATGGTCACATTTCGCTCCATGGAGACCTCATGCATAATTTAGGTGGAAAATGATAATACAAAGTGTGTAAAAAAGGTTAGATTAATAGGGTGTAACTTTTCCCTGGTGCAAGGACACGTGTAAGCAATAAGCTAGAGGACAGTGGCCGCTCGGGTATCAGCTACAGTGTGAGTAATTACATTCAGAGTTTTATAAAGATGTCTGATACGTCTTTTCGTGGTGATGTTGTTTACAAATTGCTGTCCCATTA